AGAGCGCTCGCCTGGCATGCGTGCGACCCGGGTTCGATCCCCAGCACCACATACAAAGATGTTGTGTCCACCGAAAACTAAAAAAAAAAATAAATATTAAAATATTAAAAAAAAAAAGTACATGTATGAAGACACAAATTGGTGTGAGTATACTTTGTATACAACCAGAAATAGGAAAAATTGTGCTCTATATGTATAATGAGAATTGTAATGCATTCCACTGTCATATATAAACTTTTAAAAAAATAAAAAAATTAAGTTGATCATTTTTAAAGAAGATAAAGAGGAAAAAATGAAACTAAACAAGAAATTAAAGACTTTTTAATTTTTTATTATTAAAAAAAAAGATGCAATGCTCGCTCCAGCAGCACTAAAATTGGAACCATACCGAGAAGATTAGCATGGCCCCTGAGCAAGGATGACACATAAATTCATGAAGCATTACATATTCTTTATGGAACCAACCAAGGTGCTCTTCAACAGATGAATGGATAAAAATAATGTGGTGTATATATACACAATGGAATATTAATCAGCCATAAAAAGAAGAATGAAATATGGCATTTGCTGGTAAATGGATGGAACTGGAGACTATCATGCTAAGTGAAATTAGCTAATCCCAAAAAACCAAAGGCTGGATGTTTTCTCTGATATGCAGTTGCTAACACACAATGGTGCTGGGGAGGGATGGGAGTGCATTGGATTAGACAAAGGGGAATGAAGGGAAGGGAGGAGGGATGACAGTAGGAAAGACAGAATGAATTGGACAAAACTTTCCTATGTTCCTATATGAATATACAACAGGTTGTAACTCCACATCATGTACAACCACAAGAACAGAAAATTATAATCCATGTATGTATAATATGTCAAAATGCACTCTACTGCCATGTATATCCATAGAATACAAATTTTTTTAAAAAAGCAAAAATTAAATCATATAGAAAAAAGACAAAGAAGTAGAGACCAATGTTACCACCTGGAGTGTAACCATTGTAGACATTTTGGTGACCATCTTTTATCTTTTTAGATGAATTTCTTTATACATATAAGGAAGATACCACTATGAACACTCTGATTTCCAATTGCCATATTTAGGACATTTTTCAAAGTGAGTAAGCAGAGATCTTTTTTTTTGTCTTTTTCTTAATTATAGATGGACACGATACCTTTACTTATTTTTATTTTTATGTGGTGCTGAGGATCAAATCCAGGGCGTCACTCATGCTAAGCAAGCACTTTACCACTGAGCTACAACCCCAGCCCTAAACAGAGATCTTAAACAACATAAGAACTCATAGTATTCTGTTGAAGGTAATTTGAAATAATTTATTTAACCAAGTCATTTTTGTTGGAGACTTTTTTTTACTATTTGTTTATTTGTTTGTTTGTTTTTGAGATAGGGTCTCCATAAGTAACCCAGGTTAGCCTGGAATTATGATCCTTCTATCTCAGTCTTCCAAATTGCTAGGATTACAGGTTTCCTTAAAATTAACATCTTTATGTGACAGTGTTTGGTGTGTATTTAACTAGAAAATGGATTATAAACAAAATGTTACACATATTTTGCATTTTGGTACATATTTCCTAAAGGACTTGTTAAAAGAATAGAAGGGAGAGTAGACAAGAGCAAAGATGATACATACATGTATGCAAACATCACCATGAAAATGATTAATTATACAATTAATAAGCATTAAAATTACAATAAAAGTAAGTAAATAAATCAAAACAAAAAGGCCTTTTTAACTTATACCAATTTACTCTAAGCATTAGAAGAGAATTCAACCAATAACCACACATCAGTTTAAAAACATAAATAATTAAACTGCATTAGATTATTGTCCTAGGATAGAGAATGAAGTAGTAAGGTTTGATAAAGTAAACCAAAGGCTTGCCTTGCCCATTTCTTGCTCACTCCTACGCTCAAGTTATATTAAGTGACCTAGAATATATACAACAACAAAAGTAGTTTTCAGTTATATTTCAAGGACAGTTAACACAATAGCTTCTGATAACTCCCATTTGAATTGTACTTGACAATTTCAAAATAATTTCACCTTTATTATCTTTCTGGATAATTTTAAAAAACCTTTAGTTGTACAGGGACACAATATCTTTATTTTATTTTTTAATATTTATTTTTTAGCTGTAGTTGGACACAATACCTTTATTTTATTTATTTATATGTGGTGCTGAGGATTGAACCCAGGGCCTCACATGTGCTAGGCAAGGCCTTTACCACTGAGCCCCAACCCCAGCCCTCTTTCTGAATAGTTTTTAAAATTCTGTGAGATGGACCAGAAGGAAATGAATCATCACCATTTTATAGAGTTAAAAACAACTGAAACTAAAAAATATATACATGAGAAAAAAAATATGCATATGCATATGTGAGTATGTCCCCACAGGGGTACACAGGGAATGACAGAAACAAAACTCAATAGTTGTTATCACAAGTCGAGTAAGGCACAGGAACAGGTCAATTCTAACATTGTTGAAAGACATAAATTCTTTTTATTATTCTTTATCTCATGTTAATAGTATATTCATAGATTTTTATTATTTTTTATGAAAAATAAAACAAAGACAACATAAAATGATATTAATTTCTAACAAGATAATAGTCATGAGAAAGAAATTTTTAGGGCAGTATTACACACAAATATTAATACAAATCCTAAGTAAAGTGCTATTTTAAAAAGAGCCTGGGAGAATTCAGAAGGATAATGTGCTATAATCAAGAAAGCTTTATCTCAGCAAAACAAAAACAATGAGTGTTGAGAAGTCAATTTATGAAACTCAGTGGAGAAAAAAACAATTACTCCTATATATGCCACAAAAGAATTTGATTAATTGATCAACCTTCAATACTGATTTAAAAAGTTTTATAAAATGCCTATCTAAATCCTCCTTTATATATAAATTTAAGATATGTCTCAGAGGTTTAATTTTAAGACAGCAAAATTGAATCAGCATATTTAACTTCAGTTTTCCTTCCTATAAGCCATCAAATTGGTACCCAAGCCAGTGTTCTTTAGAAAACAGAGCCAAAGGCAAAGTTTACTTACTGACACATGATTGAGAGGTATAATCCTTAAATATCAAGAGTGAGGGAAAAGGTAAGGGAGACAGGGAAGGAGGAAGAAGCATTGCCAAATTGATGGCAGCTTCACAAGAAAACCCCATGGATTGCGCCATGGCCTAGGTTATATCCAGAAAGGGGTGATGGAACCCTGTTCTTAGGAGCAGTTCTTTATCCTCATCTTGCGTCCACCACTGACCTACACCAGCCACGCAGAGCATTAACATTCCCTCCCTCAGGTATCTGGGGTACCTACAAAGGATGTAAATGGTACCCACCTCCCTTCAAGAGTGATTGTCCTGGCCACCTATCACGTTCCCTGCCATCATCTAGGGCAACATCTAGAACAACTTTGCTTACACCACAGAATTCTCAAAAAGCTCAGGAACTAATATCAATGCATTCTTCCTAGAATTGGGATGAAGACAAAGGATGGAAAGGGAAATCATCAAACAGTACTGAGGGAAATATTTTGAAAAGTTATTAGATTATTAAATTTCCTTTTCTTTTCCAAACTGTTGGGTGACTGTCACGTTCCCATCTCAGAAGTTAAGGCTTTGTCTATGAAAAGGATAAATTAAGGGTTTCTCGACTAGGGACTAGAGTCAAATAGTGAGCTGCCATACTGGAAAATCAGGCCTGATTTAACATAAGCATACTGAGGGACATGCTGAGACTGCTGGCCCTACTCCATTTCCAACATGCCTTCCAGAAGGCTCACAGTCTGTCCTCTATTTTCCAGGAAAGAGATTCAAAGATTCTTCCCTGACAAACCTCAGTGTGAGATACCAACAGCCCAGGCTCCTCAACAATAGCCATATCACCCTACACAGAAGCTCAGAGTCAATCGGCCTCACCTATATGCTCAAAGATCCTAAAGAGCTTTTAATTTCTTACTTTTAATAATAGACACTCAACAATTATGATATAACTAATTCTAATGATAAAGATTAAATTTCTGACATTAAAAATTAAAAGACAAAAACAGCAACATGAAAAAAAGAGTAAAACTTTCAAGCCTTCGAAAATAATCATTATTATATTCAGAGAGATAAAAGATTTTGCATCCATGATGAAAGAACAGGACAATCTTTTAAAATAGAGTATTCAGAAAGCAAATGGAGAAATCAAAGGAAAGGAAAATAGCAATAAAATGATTTTTGAAAATCTCCCAAGAAAGGAGGATGGAAATTAAGCAGGTGCATCAAATGCATCAACACAGTAGGTGAAATAGAACCACACCACTGTACATCATGATAAAACTTCATAACAGAAGACAACGAGAATTTTCTAAAAGACTCCAGAGATTTATTTACAAAAAAAAAAAAGAACTACATACAAAGGATCAGAAATGGCTTTGAATTCATAACAGCAATACTGATTTCACACTGAAATAACAAACGCCTCCAAAATTCTGAAGGGAAATAATTTCAGCTCATAATTTTATGTGCAGTCAAATTATTAACCACATAGAAACATGGAATAACAAATATTTTCAGATTTAAGAACTCAAAAATTTATTTCCCATTAATTTTCTCAGGAAAGGCTTACAATTATGTTTGCCAAAATTAGAAACAAACACACACACACAAAAAAAAAAAATAGAGAGAAATACATAGAAAACAAAGGAAAGATAGGGAAGGCCCCAGAAAAAATGGTGGAGGTGACAAATGAGTGCTGTGTACAAGGACATATTGGAGCCATCTGAAAAATCTGTGGCCAAGGACAGGACATACCTGTAGAGCTACCATCCCTGACAGACTTTAAAAAGAGAAAAAGTCTCACAAATGTGGATGGGTTATAACTACATGTTGAAACTGATCAATAACAAACAAGTAGCTAGTTGGAGACATCAGCAAGATGGTCCACCAGAAACCCTAGTCTCCGCCCCTCAAAAGCCCCTACATTTTGACCAAAATAATTAATGGAAAGCACCAGAGAACAACAAAGAGGCAACAGAACCCTTGTAGAGCACAGAACCTGAGGATAACCACGTTGGGAAGGAAGATGACACCTTGCCCCTGCGACCCAGTCCTCCCAGTCAGGATCAGTCCTGAACTGTGAGAGACTCCAGTAGCTAATGTCCCCAACATGGACACCTGCAGTCTTCACTACTGGAGACTCTTGCACAGGCTCTCAACCCAATGGAAGGATCTCCCAAGAGTCTACCCACTAAGCTAGCCCCAGAGAAATATCTAGCACTGTGCATTGCCCCCCACTCCCTTTGGTTTATGCTTCTACTACTTTGTGCCACCTTGGAACTAGAATCTCCGCATCCTTCCATCACTTAGGCTTAGCTTCCACAGCATACAACCACCTCCTGATGCACCATCCCAGAAACATGATGCTTCTACACTGCCCCATAGAG